CTCATGTCTAGAACTGACATTGTTATCGTCTGGCCAGTTATTTAGGTCAAGCTATTTAGATACTGTATATAAATATTAGTCTATTTAGGCCTTGGTGGGCCGTCCTGTCCTAGACATTCATAGCAACTGGGAATAACAGCAGCCAGTTCACCCCTCACAGCCCTCAGCCGCGAGGACAGCTATATTTATTCAATGTGATCCACCAGCCGAATAAAAAACAAAGCCTTCAAACAAAAGTCACTGTCCTCATGTCAATTTCAACAGCTAAATGAAAATGAATGGTTCCACTTTTGAGATGAATTGCTTTGTTTTCCATCAACGGATTCCATGAATAGATAAGTTTGAGGAAAAGTGAGTGAGTTCAAAAGTTTAGGAAATTACAGCTCAGGGTTGCAGCCGTCTCATAACATGCGGATTTAGTGGAAGCATGAATCGAGCTGCCCCCTGTGCTCAGGAATAAAAAGTTCTAACTTGATGAGGACAATCAATCATGCTGCTGTTAAGTGTTTCTGCCTGCCGCTGAGGCAACGGAAACTAATTGTTTAACGGATCATTCCGTGCATCATCTGAGAGACGCTGTGACCTGCATTACAAACCCTGCGCATCTGCCAACAATTAAACCTCTACCTAGAATATCTACCTCTCTGATCTCTTTGATCTTCGAGCCTCCTTTGCCAATGAGTGAACCGCACTGACTGGCGGGGAAAACGAGGCGCAGTGTCACAGGAGGCCTGCTTGTCACGGTGCTGTTTATCATAGATGCCAGGATATCCTGAAAGAGATGCACATGCATCAGAAAGAAGCTCAATTCAGCTTGTGTCAAGTCATTGTGTCATTTTTAAATAAAAACAAGTTTATAAGGGAGAAAAAACTATTGCAGGAACACTATTGCAGGAACACAAGTTGACAGTTTTTTAAATGAAATAAAACACTGACTAGGTATTTTGTGGCGCAATATAAAAAATGTAAAAACAATATATATATATATATATCACCAAAAATAACAAAGTGTTAATAGTTGTCAATAGTTGTTAAGTCACCATTAGCATTTCCTTTGGCTTGGACCTAATTTACTTTTAATTAATTTACTGTAATTAAAAGCCAGTGCAATGGTGTTGTTTTACAGAACACAATTTGTTGCATTGTGCAACATGTAGAAAATAAAGCAAGTGACTGACTCATTACTAAAACTATACGTATCAACATTGTAAGTTATAGAAAAATTACAATTGAATGAACAGTTAAGGGAGGAGGGTTTAGCAATACTATTGTGGTGAGATAAGTGGTTGTTTAGTATTAGATCGTTTAATGATCTCTCTGCTTATAAAACCCATTATCTCTAACAATTAAAAGGTATAATCTTAAAAATAAACATAATTAAAATGAACAAGTAGCCAAAAAAACAAGCAGCAACAGCATAATATATCAAACAGTAAAATAAATAAATAAATGCAACCACATATTTTATGGATACAATGCAGGCATATTACTGTGGACATCACACTATTACAGTTAATGTCTAAATATACAAGATCACTGTAATGCAGACACAGATAACTGTGATTCAATAGCATTCTACTTTAATATACTGTAACTAATTTCCTGCTCCTGTTCACTGTGAATTCACTGTATTCAGTAA